GGACCGGTCCGGGCCGACCCGTCCCGGGGACCGAACCGGGACCTACGGTGGACGGGAGGGCCCCGGCCGGCGGAGGCGGAGGCGAGGGCCCCCGGTGGTGCTCTCGGCACACAGGGTCGCCCGGGCACCTGAATGGCCGCCCTCCGGGCCTGGCGTGCCTTCTCCTCCCGGGCCCTTCTCCTGGCTGCCTCCTTCTGCTGATGCTGCTCCAGGAGGGTCCCCTCTCCTAGCCGCTGCCGCTGCCCCTGCAGAGACCAAGCCACAGTGCAGACAGCGGGTTGCCCCACAAGGCCCCCAGCCTGCCGTTTCTCTGCCCCACAGAGAACAAGCTCCCTCTCCCAGGCACCCAGTGGACCCCGCAGATGGGACACAGCTTGGTGTCGCAGCCAGAAACCCGCCCCAACTTTCAGCGGGTGCAACCCAACACCCAGGCACTGCCAACCGAGCAACTGGGGAGGGAGGAAGCTGGGCCCCCAGATGGGGTGGGCCCAGGGAAATTCTAGGTCCATCCCACCAGTCCGCATACGGCTGGGCCCCCACCCACACACCCACACCCACCCACACCCACACAGACCCACACACCCACACCCACACCCACCGCTCGCTTTGACTCCAGCAGGCGCTGCACGCTGGCCGCTCCTGCTCGGCGCCGCTGCACTTGGTGCCGGTACCAGCGCTGGATGGTGACGGCGGCCTGGTTCACCTGGTGGATAAACCTGCCGGAGAGCGGGGCTCAGGACTGAGGCAGCAGAGTGATGGGCTCCCCTCCCAAGTCCCCGAAGGCTGGCCAGGTGGGGACGCCGTGCACAGCGCCCGTCCTCAGGTGCCAACGTCCTGGGGAAAAGGAAACACCCACCCACACAGACTCCACTCACAATCGCCAGAAACCAGAGAGACCCGAAGGCCCACCACCTGGCTGCGGGGAGCAAGTGTGCGCCCGATGGGACGCCACTCATGGACCAGCGGCAACAAACTGGAGACGCAGCCAGGGCTGCAGTCGGCCCGTGGGGGAAGGCAAGCTGCAGGGACAGGCTGGTGTGGTCAGGATCACCTGGCAGGGACTGGCCGAGAGGCGTGTAGGGAACCCTGGGGGGGCGAGACGCTCTTTTTGCAGACCCGGCTGCACACGCGCCAAGCTCACAGACCTGTGTCCTAAAGGGGGCGCGCCCTGTGCACAAAGTGCACTCAGTAACGTGGACTAAACCCAAAGCCTCCGTCCTGGCTCCCAGGATGCCCTGTCAATTCACTTGGCGAAGATGCTGACGGACCATCCAGGATGTGAACGGTCACCGGCCGTGGGACACGTGTGCAGAGGCCCGTCCACCACCTCACCCTGCTCGCCCACTTCCAGGGCCTGTCCCAAGCTCCATGGGGACAGCAGTGGTGACAGCCCAGCCAGGTGAGGCTCTCCAAGCGCAGCCTCTGATCGCTAGGTGGTTCCGGACTGGGCTCGTGGTCTCCAGCGGCAGGAGGCTCTGCCAGGCCCACCCTCCGCGGCCCCTGGGACAAGATTCCAGGGGCAGCCCTCCCACTTGTTCCTGAGTTTTTCAGTTGTCTTTCTACCAACAGTTTTACTGATACATACTTGCAAAATTCACCCATTTTGAGTACACGACTCAGTGATTTGCAGTAAACTTAAAGAGTTGTATGACCATCCCCAGGGTCCAGTACTGGGACGGCTCCATCACCCCTCGGAGACCCCCTCCTGCGCCGCCCCAGCCCCAGGCAGCCATCACTCTCCTTCCTGATTCTGCAGATCTGCCTCCTTGACATCTCTCCCCGGCACCTCAGGCCCCCTCCCGGCCCCAGCCCCGGGCGGTCACCTCTCGGCCTCCTCCTCAGTCACCTCCTTCCGTCTGAGCTGGCCCGTGGCACCTCCCGAGTTGCTCTGGACCGCGTGGCTGCTGCGGGCCACGTTCTTCTGCGCCTTCCCGAAGCTGCAGCTCTCGCCCTCGCCCGTGGTGGCCTTGACGATATTGCTGACCGGAGGGGCAGAGAACGGCTCACGGACCTCAACCCTGGGGACAGCTCCACCCGCGGCTATGTCCCAGGCCTGGGAGGAGGTGCCCGCTGGACGCCAGCAGCAGGCAAGGTCCTGCTCCTGCTCTGATTTGCTGTTCATCTCTTGGGGCCGCCCTCTCCCCCCGGGGCCCATCTGGTGGCACCCAGGTTAAAAGGCTCTATGTTTAAAACAGCAAAAAGGTCTCAAAAGCCACAAGATCCCAGAATGGATGGTGACTCAAGACACGCGTGCGCCACCCCTGACTCTGAGCGTGCCCTGAGGGTGACAGGGGGCGAGGTACCAGGGGATGCTTTGCTCTGCTCAGCCAAGCCCCACCCAAGACCCCCGCCGCTTCGGACTCGGCTGGGGACCCGAGCCAGGGGTTGGGGGGCTGTGGCTTCCTCAGTGGGCCCCAGGCCGGGTGCGCCCGGGTCCTGGGCCCGCGGTGAGACTGGAGCGAGGCCCTTACTTGAGGGAGGGAGCCGTGTGGTTGGAGCTCTTGGGGGGCGGCGGCGCCTTCTCCGAGGGAGGATAGCGGTTGTGCACCATGGTGGTCACGCAGTTGCCCACGGCTCCCTTGCTGCTCCTGCGGGAACAGATGGGAGGCGGCGTCCAGCTCTGGGAAGGAGGCGGACCCCGCGTCTCGCGCTCAGGGCCTGTGCTCACTTGGTGTCATCCCAGAGTCCCTGTGGGGCCCCGTCCACAGCCACCGCACCCAGCCGTGGGCCCTTCTTGGGACCCAGGACAGCTCCAGCAGGGCTGTTCCACTGAGCAGAACCAGAGGTGTGAGCGGTGAAAACCACCGCGACCCCCGACATCGGACACGCCTGTGATGGGGGAACGGCCACGGACTGGTCGACGGAGAGAGGGCCTCTCCATGCCGGCCACACAGTCACACGGGGCGGGTGGCACAGGCACTGTGCTTTCTCTGCCCCTCTCAGAGCCACTGGAAGGAGTAAAGACAGCGTAATCACACAAAGACGAGAGGAGACAGCGGCAGAGAGATGTCCATGAAGCGTTAGAGGTGGAGGAACAGAAGGGCCAGTGGTGAGGGACGCACAAAGTGAGGGAACGGAGCCCCAGGTGCTGCAGGCAGCTGGTCTGCACCCCAGAACCCGGGGAGGGGCAGGGAGCAGAGGCACCGGCTCTCCAAGGAAGCCCGTGCCTGGACCCCCCTCCTTGCCCCGAGCATCAGACGCCAGCCCCCTCCCCGCCTCGGCCCTGCAGAGGACGAGGCTGGGTCTCCGGTGAAGCAGTCTGTGCTGCGAGCCAGGGCAGCCCCACCCCTCCCCAGCCGGCCTGCAGCACTGGCGGCCAGGACGCGAACCCCAGCGTAGGAGACAAGAGGACCGCTCCCCGGAGAGGGTGGGCAGCCCCGAGAAAAGGCCCAGATGCTGACCCCAGCACAGCAGCCTGGCCCCTGCACAACCACCCAGAAGTGAAGCTGCCTGGAAAAGGCTTCCCGGCAACTCGCAGGGCCTTGAACTCCGGGAACACTTGGGGAAAGACCCACAAGAGAAAGATCAGCAAACAGAATGTGATGGAAATGAGGCTAAACAGAGAACAGCACCGCGCGGGCGGGACGGAGGGCGCGCTGGGGTGCAAGGTGGAGGCAGGGCGGCGGACAGTGAGCCCATCTTCCACGTGGGTCACGCCCGAGGCTGAAAACCAGTCGACAAGGAGCCGCCCTGGCATGTCTTGAGAAAGGTTTTCTAGAAAATACGAGAACGAACAGCCTGCACGTGGCTGCTTCTGGGGAGCAGGGCTCGGGGCGGGGAGGGGCGCGTGGGCGGGCTGTTTTCCTCCTGAAGTCAGTGCCACTGTTCAACTTTCTAGCTGTATGCACGTATCACTGTGATGGGAATTAGAATTAAGTCTTAATTTGAATTCTCACGTTGAAACCAAGAATCCCTCCTGCGCCGGCTCTGGTGAAGGCCTCTCAAAGGCCATTCCTTTGATAAATGGCTCTAAAGGTTGGGAAATTCTTTCTTGTACTGAGGCAAATGTGTCTCAGCCCCTCTGCCCATGTGCGGGTCGCGAGTGGGTCCCAGCTGAGGCCGAGAGCCAGGGGGACAGGCGTTCCTGCAGGTGGGGGCGCTGCCCTCGGCTCCTTCTCTCTGGGCTTCTCCAGATGCCCCCATCTGACCACTCATGGCCACCAGCCCCGACGGCTGAGGTCCCAGCCTGCCCGGCCCTCCCTCTCCAGCCCCCGCTGCTGTCTTGCTGTGAGTGGCATGGCTGAGAAGTGACCAGCACGGCCAGGATGCTGACCAGTTCTGGGCAGTGAGCAGGTGCCCCCGAGGCAGCTCCGTCCTCCCCTCCAGACAGACTGAGGCTGAACCTTAAGGCCTCCCGGGGCCCGGAGTGAGCCTCATCCAGGCCTGACTGCTTCAAGAGTGAAGCCGGGCATCTCGGGTCCTGGGGGGAGTGCTGGGTGCAAAACACCACGTTGCAGCCTCTTCCCTCGGCCCTCAGGTAGGGAAGGCCAATCGTTCATTCCCACACTCACTCATTCCAAAGCACCCGGTCCAGCCATGAACAAGACAAAGTGGCTGCCCCGGGAGCTCTGGGTGGGCGGGGCCGCGTGGCCCCTGCAGCTGCCGCACCTATTGTTGGCAGTGAAGGTGGGCGCCAGGGGCACCGTGCACTCTCTCCTCCGTGGGCCCGCTGGCACGTCGAGGGCGCTGGGACTCTGGGCGTCGGGCGGCGAGCTGAAGGCCATGGGCCGGTCGTCCTGTCAGTGCACACAGCCCGTGACCCCGCCGCACACGCCCCTGACCCCCGTCACTCCCACGCACAGGGGGGCGGTGAGGCGGCCCCGGGACGGGGGCGTTCTTTGCTCCCCCTCATGTCCAGCCCTGTGGTCAAAGCTGGCCAACACTGGCGCCCCCCTCCTGCCAGTCCCCACCCCCCAGAGGAATAGTGAGAACAAAGACAGAATGGGGGTCACTCCCCACAGACACCAGCCACCCGACATCCCGTCCGCTCCGCTCAGCCGCTGGCCTCACCAGGATGTTCCACGTGGCTCCCTTCTCACTAGAAGTTCTGCTTGGACCAGCCAGCCTCTTTCTCTCACTGGGGCTGCCCTCAGAGAGCAACAGGGAGTCCGGGGGCTCCGTCGGCCTGTGTCGGGAGAGGGCACAAGCAGGGACCATCCCTCAGCCCAGGAGCCTGGCTCCAGGGACCCAGACTGGGGGTGTCTTATGAGGGAACAGGAGGGGCCGGCTCTCCAGCGGGGACTTCTGTGCCAAGCCCACAACATAAAGCGTCGTTTCTCAGCCCTGATCTGACAACCACGCTTGGGTCAGGCGTCACACCCCATCCTGCGGCCACCAAGACTCCCACAAGGCACAGCACGGACAAAGGGAGAGGAGCGGGCAGGGGACACCAGCCTCAGGGCCGCATCTCTGTGCACAGACTCACCCCACCCGCCCCGCCCAGGGCTGGCCCCGTGCTCCTGCTGGTGAGGCTGCGGGAAGGGCTGACCAGGCAGGAGAGGAGCAGGCCGCGGTCCCCTGAGGGGACAGGAGGCTACCTGCGGGGGCCGGTCCACGCATGGTCGGCTTGTGACTGGTTGACCTGCGTGGTGCTGTTAGATCTGCGAAGGTTGTTGGCAGCCTGGGAGCCTCTGGGCCCTGGGGCCTCCTGCAAAAAGAGGGGAGGCCACCAACCACGTAGCAAAGGTTTCAGTCACCCGCCAGTTCACTCAGCTGGTGGCAGGTGGGCAGAGGTAGCAGCGTGGGGGTCTTGGGTGTGGCCTTGGCCTCTCTGGCATGAAGTGGGAGCCCCTCACCCCAGACAGGTGGAGGGTCCTAGAGGAGATGCGTGAGGCCTGTCCGGGTGCCACGGCAAAGGCTGATGGGCCCCTGGTCCCCTTCTAACCAGCAAGCCTTGCTGCCCGCTCCCGGCTGCCCGCCTGCCCTGGGGCTCGTCTCCATCCCCCCACGTCAGCCCGTTTGCGGAGGGCTCCGACAAATCCAGGCGCTGCTGGAGCACAACGGACAGAGGGCTCTGCCTGGGGTCAGCCGACCCATCCTCGACCTCTCTTGAGTCAGCTCCCTGGTCCACAAGCCGAGTCCTTCCTGCCCTAGGACAGCCCCGGAGTGGACGGGTGGTGGATGAGAGGACGCCGGCTGAGGTGTGGAGCCCACCCAGGGGGCAGACGCCACCCTAGGGCAGGGGCCCTGGATGCCCAAGGACCAGACGCTAACACTGCTCCAAGCGTGGCTGTCAGATCAGGGCTCTCACACTCACCGGCGCCTTCCTCCCGGGCGCGCCACCCGTGACCATGGAGATGGAGCGGGTGATGGGCTTGGCGGCAGAGGCGCTGCTGGGGCGCCGGGACACGGGCGGAGGGAGGCCCGCCAGACACAGGTCCACGCTTCCAGGGCTGCCCGCAGGGCTGCCAATGGCCCTGGGGCCTTTCATGTGGCCAGGCAAGCCCTGAGAGGAGAAAGGGAGTAAGGAGACGCCCTCCGAGGAACCGGGCCCTGCACCCACCACCTTCAACTGGGCCTCAGGGGCTCAGGGCACCTGGGTCTGCGGCCACCAAGCTCTCCACCCTGTTCTCTGGGTGGCCGTCTCCTTGTTGGGACCCTGAGCGTGAGCTGCAAGAGGAGAGCCTCCTGGGCTCCAGAAGACCCCCCCACCCGCCTGGGAGGCTGCCCTGCCCTGCAGTCGTGGCTGTGAGCCCCCACCCCTGTGACAGGCACCACGCCAGCCCGGGCCTCGCGCTCCGCATCTGCGGAATGGGCATTTAAGAAGGTGCCTCCATGGCGGGGGTGTAGCTCAAGCGGCAGAGCGAGTGCTTAGCGTGCACAGGGCCCTGGGTTCAATCCCAGTGCCCCCTCCAAAAACAAACAAATAAATAAATAAACCTAATATCCACCCCGCCCCCTAAAGAAGGTGCCTCCTCACGGGTTATCACGAGGCTCAGACAAGACGGCCGTGGGGCTGGCGCGTGGTGAGCCCCAGCAGGCGACGTTCTAACTGGGACTTGGCCTCCAAACTTATCCGGCTACAGAGCCCCCTCCAATCCCTCAGGACTCCCGGAACATCCACAGCCTTCCGGTAGGAGCATCGGCTCTCATGTCAGGGCTCCCCTCCTCCCCACCTAGAGCGGCTGCCTTCCCAGGGCCCCTCACTGGCCCAACTGACCGCTCCACCCTGGGGCACCGCCTCCAGCTTCAAACACCATCCATGGGCCAACGGTTCCCAAGGGCATACCTCCCGCCCCCTGTGTCTCCTCACTCCCAGCTGAGATGACCTCGGAGCTCTCCACACCTCAGACCCAGACTCCTGACTGCTACCTCCAGCTGCCCCTCCCCAGCCGGGATCCCAGGCCAAAGACCCAGCTCTCATCCCAACACCTTCCCCTCAGCAACCAGGCCAGAGTCCTCTACCGTCAGTCCCTCCCCTCCACAAGCCCCCAGCATCTCCTCAAACCTGGACAACCACAGCCGCCCCCCCTCCGGCCCTCCCCAGCCGGCCCAGCCCCTCCCCACGTGGCACCCAGAGCTGACCTCTGAACCGGGTCTCAGGGCGGGCTGCGCACCTGCTGGACACCCTCCAAGGGCTCCCAGGTAAAGCCCATGTGCCTCACCGCTCGGACCTGACCCTGGTCTCTGCGACCTCCTCGCTTGGCCCCCCCTTGATCTGCTTGGGACCCTTCCCAGGATGTCCCCTTCACTCAGAGGCCTGCCTGTCCCTGTTACTCTTCACGCCCTCATCCCGCTTCATCTTTCTTCACCTGGCCACCTGCCCACACAGGTTGGTGTGTGCACCATCTGAATGTCAGCCCCACGAGGACAGGGACCATGCAGCCCAGCAGCTGGCATGCGGCTGGTGCTCAAGGAACAGGAGTGGATGCACCGGCACCAGGGGTGACCAGAGAGGAATGAGCGTAGCCCTCCGTGCCACCGAGAGCTCTGCTGGGCCAGTGGGCACACACCATCGTCACCTGAGCTCAGGGCTGCAGTCTCCTTCAGCCCCGACACCCACAGAGCCCCCACTCTCTAGAGCGAGGGCAGAGGCTGTCCCTGCCACTCACCAGGCCGGTGTCCTCAGTTATGCGTTTCCGGTCGTGTGGGTGGAATTTAACCCCCTCCTCTCCTCAGGAGAGGGTCCAGCCACGTCCAGCTGCACCCAGGCTGGCCCATGCGAGGAGTGTGCGGGGCTCTGGGACGGCAAACACAACCTCTCCGTGGAAACCTCCAGGCCGGACCTCACCTTGTACGCAGAGGTGTCCCTCCCAGGACCTGAAGGTGGGTGTCCGGAGCTGCTGCCTGGGCCCCCCAGAATGGGCTGACTCAGGGCCCCATGCAGCGTCTCTGTCTGGAAGCTGCTCATCTCCCTGGGGTTTGTTTCAAGGTGGTGAGATGAGACTGCTGACTAGAATCCACACCATCCTCTGGGGAAGGCATGAGAAGCTCCCCGGCCCTGTGCGGGGGCACCTACACCTTCTCCCTCATCTGAGCAGACCCCGGACATCCTCACCTGTGCAGGGACCTCCGTTACCAGCGTAAAACCCCTCACTGTGCGAGTGCCAGGCACCCACACCTGCGCTGGCCTCCCCACGTGGGAGGGCCGGGGACCACCTCACCTGAGCAGGGACCCCCTCAACAGCACAAGGCCCCACTCACCTACACGGCTCATCTCACCTGCGCAGCCCGGCATGCCCGTCCCTGAGCGGGCCCAGCAGCCCCTTCACCTGCACGGGCCACGCCACCTGCGCAGGGACCCGCTCACCTGCACGGGTCGGGCCTGGGACGCAGGGCCTGCGGGACCGAACGGCGAGAGGTGCGCGGGGCCCTTCAAGCTGGATCGCGCGGGGCCGAGGCCTCGGGCAGCGACCTTGCGCCCCCGGCCCCGGCGCTAACTCCGAGGCTCGGTGACAATGAAGCGTCCTGGCGGCTGGGGGAGCGGCGGCAGCTAGCAACCAGAAAACAGCCTGGCACCTCCTCCCCGTCCGTCACGGAGGCCCGCCTTTCCTGCCCACGCCGCTTCCGGATTGGCGCCCCGGGGGCCCGCTCCGGGCGTCCCGGGAGCTCATTGGGCCGCTCGGCCGTCCTTCGGGAAGTTTAGGCGTGGGAGGAGCCGCGGAGAGCAGGGGACCGTGGCGGAGGCGGGCTGCTGATTGGACGTGGCTGGAGGAGGCGGGGTCTGGCTGATGCGGGGGCGGGTCCCAGGAGGAGCCTCTGGGAGAGGGTGGGAAGGAGGAGGAAGGGGCGGGGCGCGCGCTGCGGCCCCGCACCTCTTCCGCAGGGC